GGGTGGCTGTGGTGGGATCGTCTGAATCTCCGTCCTAAGACGTCCCTGGGTGGCTGTGGTGGGATCGTCTGAATCTCCGCGTCCTAAGACGTCCCTGGGTGGCTGTGGTGGGATCATCTGAATCTCTGCGTCCCTAAGACGTCCCTGGGTGGGTATGGTGGGATCTTCTGAATCTCCGCGTCCTAAGATGTCCCTGGGTGGCTGTGGTGGGATCGTCTGAATCTCCGTCCTAAGATGTCCCTGGGTGGCTGTGGTGGGATCGTCTGAATCCCTGGGCCCCACTTGGCGTTAGTGTGCTCGGAGAGCCCGGTCCATCCACTTGGCAGTGCACAGGCGTGCGAATGCTCCTGTTCTTTCCAGGAAGCTTTAGCTTGAAATGCGCTATGAGGAGGGGTGGGTTAAAGTTGAGCCTCCTTTGAATATAGAATTTTCACAGTGAAAAGAAGAAAAGACTGCTGATCTCAGATGTATGCGTGAGTATTCTCTTAATCAGTGTGAGGCACAGGCAGGGCTATTTCTCTCTCTTTATGTGAAGAGAGACACAAGAGAATCCCTCCGCCTTTCGTGGAGGTTTTTGCCTTAGAGTACCTGTGCTTCCCTGAGAGAGGGAGGCAGAGACAGTGAGAAGGAAAGTGAGAGCTCCCCCAGGCGGATGGCGGGGGATGGCCATGCCACAGTCCCTTCTCCATCCTCCTCCCGGGATCTGGGACATGCATGCACACGCACCCAGCATGGTTTTTAAGCCACTGGGTCTGGAACCCGAACTGGAGCCGCCATGTAGGAGTTAGTGATGTAACTGCTGTGCCAGCTGCTGGCCCGAGATGCACTGTTTTAACAGTTCTCTATCACACAGTCCCGTGGCTAAATGAGTTGCAGGGCCAGAGAATGTATAAATCATGGATAGTTCATGTTTTTACAGCAAAAATCCTACTTAATTAACACTATAGACACTAGATCACTAACTTCTTCTGTTGTCTTTTTAAATAGTTTATTTTCATTTGTGACGAGGGCACTGCGCATGCCCGGCACGTGCTCACGCTGCAGGAGAGAGTGACTCCCCATAGGCCCCATTGCACCACCAACGGTGCCCCCCCCAGGCTTCCAGCCCCAGGGTCTCGGGCACGTGTGCACCCAGCATGTGCTTACGCGGACCCAGGGGTCCCAGCCTGCAGTCGGCCGTGCAGTCCCAGCACGCGGTTCAGTGGGCTGTGGGCTGCGGGCCGCTCGGGAGGCCGGCTATACGGCCACTAGTTCCATGGCACAGGCCTCCAGGAGACCCGGAGCACCTACACGCCTTATTTAACCCCTCGCATACGCAGTTTCATCAGGCGTGGCCCATCGTGGGCCGTCGGTCTCCGCAGCAGAAGTGTCTAAGCACTGACTCCATCCAGGAGCCTTGGGAGGGCCGGTCCCCACTGCTCTCATCAGGACTGGGGAAAGGTGTTGAGAAGACCTGAGGCTTCTTCCAAAGTGTCGTCTTCAAACATTCAAGGGCCCTTCAGAAAGTCCACAGTCTAAGAACTGAAGTCTGACTTCGTTTTGGCTGGGGCCAAAAATGAGAACTGTACTACGCCAAGGTCTTCATACTGAGCACTCTCCCTCCTTGTTCTCGCTGCAGGTTTTAAGGTACAACTCGAGTCCATTTGAAAAGGTTACTGTTTAACCCATATTTTTATTGTGCTTTCACCAGCATTTTAATAAAATCTGGAAAAGGCCAAATTACGGGCATAGCAAAATAGGATTCATCATTTTGCACTTGCCAGCTTCCTCGGACAATGTGTGTCTTAGACCCCTCATTTTCATGCTTTCTAAGTGAAGAGAGGAAACACCACTCATCGGGGACCCTGCTAAAGGCCTTAGCTTTCCTAGAGAGATGCTCCCTGTGGATGCCCTGCCCTAACACTTCACTGACTTTAGTTGAAAACAGTCGAAGACTGCTGTTGAGACTGCTGTTGAGTAGACGCCCCAAATCTTCAGAAGGCCAAAGGCTGAGCCGAATGAAAGGCAGGTCTTATCTGAGCATCTCGGACGACTCCCCACCTCGTGCAGTTCGGATGATCTCACACTTTGCTCAGGAAGATGCTTGACTGAAATTTCCTCATTTCCTTCTCATATTTTCTTGCGTAAGGCTCTACTTTCACGCAGATGAGGGACTATGCTAGCTGACAGAATGAAGGGTTCCCGTGGCGAATGGAGTTGAAGGCTAAAGAGTGCCCTTGCCACTCTAGTAGAATTCTCCCCAACCCCGTGTACCTCTTGGTCTGCATGCAGTGGCCTGGGGAGGGGTCGGCAGGTCAAGTCCTGAACGGTGCAGCACGTTCAGCCCGTCTGAAAAGCGTTCTTCAGTATTGTTATTAGGAGGGCCAGTTGGGCCGAATGTTCGGGTTCTCAAGATACCATTTGATAGTGTGATTTCTGGCTGATCAAGGCAGAGCAGAGCACCTGGTAAGGGATAACAGGTCCAAACCACTAAGAGTGAAGCATCATTTTATCCTTTCAGGTTTCCCGAGTCTGCGGTTTCTGTTTTGAAGAGCCAGCACTTACGGCAGAAGCTCCTTCAGTCTCTGTTTCTTGATAAGGTTTACTGGGAAGGCCAAGGAGGCAGACAAGGGATTGAGAAGCTCATTGATGTCATTGAGCAGCGAGCTAGGATCCTCACCACCTACATCGCCGCGCACGGGGCCCAAGTCCTGCCCATGAACGAGTAGTGAAGGCTCTCTGGCCAGAGGGCGAGAGAGATCCGTGCATTTTTGTTTGTTTCTGTATCAGGTGCATCGACCTCAAGGCTTTCGGGGATGAGACAGTGCAGATGAATACATAAAAAATGGCTTGACCAAGCAGAGTGATGGGCCTGAGCCCCATGTGAGGCTTCGAGAGGTTTGCAAAGCAGCTGCTCAGAAAATAGCTGTGCTCCCTAACACCTGTGTGCGGGCCTCAGCATCTCATTAGGAAGGGCTGCAAGCATTGTTTCAGCTAGCTTTGTGGGCCCACCCCGTCTGACAGAACAGTGTGAACCACACATGCCAACTCTCTGACCATGGCGGCTTGTGCTGTGTGACTGGTCTGCCCCAGTGTTACCGGTAGGGTTCCCGACCTGTCCCAACACGGCCCCTGACTTTGAACATAATTGACGGACTTTGTCATCTCTGAAAGCTATAAAAACAATGTGAGAATGTTTACAATACATTCTACTGTCTTGCCCCAGTCTGTCTGTCAGCGCTAAAACACACCCACTTTCCACGTTCTGCTCAGGGCAGCTCCGGGTCAGTGTGAATCAGAGCGATGCAGGACACTACAATGAGGTGGGCTTTAAAGTGCCTACAGGCTCTACTTAGTGCACACGTGTTGATCAAAACGTCAAAGCAATAATGTTAAGTAGAAGAGAACATGGACCACGCAGTGAGGGCCACTGGCTCTCCCAATCACAAGGAGTGAGGGCCACTGACTTGCCCAATCACAAGGAGTGATCCATTGGCTTGCTTAGTCACAAGGAGTAAGGGTCATTGACTTGCCCAATGAAAAGAGTGATCCATTGACTTACCCAATCACCAGGAGTGAGGGCCATTAACTTGCCCAATCACCAGGAATGAGGGCCATTGACTTGCCCAATAACAAGGAGTGAGGGCCATTGACTTGCCCAATCACCAGGAGTGAGGGCCATTGACTTGCTCAGTCACCAGGAGCAAGGGCCATTGACTTGCTCAGTCACCAGGAGCAAGGGCCATGGGCTCGCCCAATCACAAGGAGTGGAAGCCAGTGGATCCCCAATTCCAAGGAGAAGGCCATTGGACCACCTAATTTTGACCTTCCAGGCTCTTGTTCTCACCTTTCTTCATGTACCTTGTTTCTTGGGCTTCTCTGGGAAAGCCAGTCCTTGGACCACCCACCCCTTGGGTGGGCCTCCGTCTGGTCCCCTTGCTCAGCCCGCCTTAGCCCTCCCCAGTGTATGCTCACCTGCTATTTCTGGGCTTTCTAAGTTCCTTGTTTTCTCCCTCGTAAATCATCCTCTCCATGAAGCAGTGCCTTAGTAATGTCTAGACCTGCATTCCCCCTGGATGCGCCACCACCTGGAGGTGACTCTGGCAAGCAGCCTTCCCTTATGTTGTCAAGGGGCATGTTTGCATTTCAGGGAGCTCTTTATAGACTTCCCATCATGGCCCCCGTTGCAGTGGGAGCGAGGTTGTCCAGGCTGCTGAGGAGTGACTTCCATACCACGTCTCTGGCTGCTGGTGGCGGGCAGCCCGGCCCTGCCGCACAGTGTCTCCCTTGGTCGATCTGACACCAGCTGTTCCCAAGTGTGCCGCGTTCCAGGAGCGGTCCCGGAGCCCAGCAGACCTCAGTCACCTTTGCTTTTTTGACAGTGGCCAGTGAATAGCTCGTGATGGGTTATTCTGAGTATCCAGAGGCCGGGCTTTTAATGCTCAGTGATATTCTTCAGCCCTTGCTTGTTGAATCAGTGAGACCCCTCAGCACACTGCAGGCGCACACAGAGGACGCCGTGGCGTGGTCCGCACAAGCATAATATGCGTTTATTTATAACTCGTAATGAATTCAAAGTATAATAATCTGCCTTGGCAGACATGCGCAAGCCTGCTCTTGTGTGACTTATTTTCTTTAAGCTGATGATAAGAAAATAAATATGTATTTTAAAAATCTGTAATAAACCATTAAAAATGAAAGACGTGTGCCTTTTGTTTTGTGATAGGTGTTTTCCTTTTAGCGTCCAGAGCAAAGTGTGGAGGGGCAGTGCCTCCTTTGCCCACCAAGGAAACACTGCATAGAGGAGACCCTCACCGGCTGTTTGCGTGTGGCTGACACGTCGCCAGTAATCGGCTGCTCTCCCTTGGTGTTTTGTTGTCAGTATGGGCAGACTAGTTAGCATACGTCATATGGCACAGGAAATGATTTGATTTTTGATTTATTTTTCTTTGCTTGGGGTGCATCTTACAATTATGTTTACAGTTTTCTTTATAGCATTTGTAGTTACTCAGTTTATCAGACGCACAGGGAGCTTAGCAAAGTATAAAGTATCTTAACCTTATCCTCAAAATATGTATGATCGCTGAACTTTTATAGTGGCTTATTCGTCCTGTTGGATAAACGTCAAGTGCCTTTGATGCACATTGCAGTATATATCATTAAGTAAGAGTCTCAGGTGTGGACTCATTTACACATGCCTCATGCAAGTCTAATGTGTAGCTCAGCACGGAACGAGGGAAGCACAATTATAACACTCATCTGAAAATGAAATGGAAGTTGTACATGGGTCCGATTCAGCTGAGAAAGGTGCTTAGCTAAAAGTTGAAGAGAGTAGTTACGAATCAAGAACCTTCATTTGTGAAAAATAATTTGATGTGACTGGTCAGACAATGATCTGAAACCTGCGAATGGTCAGAAGACTGTTACGGGTACTCTCAGTGTGAGTGTCTGCCCCGAGGCCCCCAGCCGTGCTGCAGGGCGGAGATGGACTTGTAGGCTTTTTTGTCCCGTGGAGGTATAATTCTTTTCTGGTAGAAAGGTAACCTTACAGGGAGTAACTGTTAGACATTAACCAGTGCCACATGTAGCCCATCAGACTTACCATAAAGCTGACTGCAAATGTTTAGCTTTAAAAATACTTTTTAGGGACCAGCAGATGGCATGATGGTTACATTGCTGGACTCCCACGTAGCCGACTGCAGTTCAAGCCCCAGACCTGGTGGCTTAAGCTTCGTGGCTAGGATGTGGGCATGTGTTCCCAAGATCCCGAGAAGAGGGTGGAGGAGAAGGGATTGCAGTGTGGCCATCTCCCCTGGGGGGTGATTTCTTGCTTTCTGTTTTTCTAGTGAGCACACACACCTTACAGCAAAAATTTCTCTAAAAATAAATGAATAGAAATATTCTTTAGATGTTTTCCCCATCTTGCCGGTTCCCTACTAGGTAATTCTGTGAATAAATCTTTGAGGTATATTCACTTTACATTCAGGTAGGAATCAGAGTTCTACGCTCCTGAAATTTTTGCTTTAATAAACTTCTGACCACAGACTCGGATGATCTTACTTGCTTGGAGGTCATGATTTCAATGTTTCAGTTTCACGTAACAGACGTCAGAGCATGGAGTTCCATGGTTATATGAGCCCTGAGATCCACACAGACACCAGCACCTGGCACCAACACTGGTTCTCCAGAAGGGGAGTGAGGCGGAACGGGGTGGGGGGGGGCTTGCCTTGGTTTACAGCAGCCGGTGGCCTGGAATCTTCAATGCTGGGACGGACTGAGTTAGAACTTTATCAGAGCTTTCCCATTGACAGAGATAAAACAAGAAACCCAGGTTTATGACCCCTGAAGGTCTCACACAGACATTTTCATGCGTAGTCGTAATGTGAAGGCACACTTCCCAGGGAGCTTGCAGGGAGTGCAGTAGACAAGCCGCCCGTTCCATGAAGTTGATGGTCACACCCCAGCCTCGGTCAGGAGTCTACTGGGTGCTGTTGGCCAGGTGGACACGCCAACTAGCACACGAACAGTCCGCTGACCTGTGGCCAGGCTGTAAGTCAGATCCTGAGTGGTGACATTTAGGGAAGCAGGGAAGCGTGTCCTTCAAGGAACGTTCGAATAGGTCCCATGCTGTCCCAGCGGCATTTAACCCTTCAGAGCTCAGGATTTCTGGGGCAAGGTCCCTGAGCTCACAGCCCTTCTGAACAGCACTGCCTGTCACCCAGGGCGCTCTCAGAACCACGGGCACTCACGTTCGGAACCTGCTCTCCTGGGTCTGTGGTTTCCCGGGGCAAGAATGTTTGTTTTGCAGTGGTGTATTTATAAAAGATGAGAAATTATACCATGTACTTGTGGACAGAAGTCTGACTACTTTTCCTATTTTTCCAAAATCTCTTCAAAAAGGGACTGGGGAAGTCACGCCCACAAACATTAACAGACCATTTATTTTCTATTAACAGGATTCTTCCGACCTCCTGTCCCTGGCATAGTATCTTTGAGATGTAGATTAAGCCTTTCTTTAACTAAGACATTCCCAAGACACAGATCTTCCTTTCCAATCACTGACCTAAGAATTTGTGGAACCCACCTATAACCTACAAGACCCCCCTCCCGCTTCTACATGTCCCTCCTTTTTGAGCCAGACTAATGGGAAATCTTTTAATTAAATGTTGTCTGTCAATCTCAAAAGCAAATAAAAGGAACCTCTGTACATGATCACCCCGAGAAAAGGCATGTATGCCTCTTCTCCGGGCTAGGTCACACGGTTGGCTTGGAAATAAACCACATTAATTATTAATTTTACAGTTGGGTTGGTTCGTCGTCGACATACTTTCTTTTAAAGAATTATTTTATTGAACATTATTTATTTTCATTTATTTTAATTTGACCAGAGAGGGACAGAGTGGGAGAGAGAGAGAGGGAAAGTGAGAAAGCAAGCCACCAGGTCTGGGACTCGAACTGCAGTCAGCCATGCGGAAGTCCAGCGCCCTTAACCACCCTGCCAAATGCTGGCCCTTCTCTACTACATACTTTCAAAAGGTCTTCACCTAATATATTTTAAAAGTCTTGTTTTTATACAAAGGCAAAAACTTAGGTTCTGGAAAAATGTCTTAAGTACTTTATTCGCTAGTGAAATTGTGGGGCCTTTGGCTTTACTGAGCACTTCACCATTTTTAATTCATGTATCATCCCCGATTCGCTGACATCCACTTACCTGTGCCGCACACTCCTTTGAGGTTATTTTTATTAATTCTTTAACTAATTAAAAATTATCTATTTGCCCTACCAGGACCCCAGGTAGTCACCATTTAGACAGTTTCGGAGTACGAGACAAGCCACGTCAGTGTGCACTCTAAAATGAAGTTCTTTGATTTGCTGCAGTGGTCTTTCTGGGCATTACCATAAAACTCTTGGTTTTTACAAAACGTTTTTTTAAACACATGGATGGACTTTTCTCAGTGGAATTATTTGGTTGACATTTATGCAAAGAATGACGCCCCCACCCGCCTGTCCTTTGGTGTCTTGGAGGAGCACTCTTACTCATCTTCCCTCCTGTCCCTGCTCCTCACACGCAGCTGCCTTATGTCAAAATCCGCATCCCCGCTCACTCCTGCGCTCTCTGCTCCTCTGGGGTATGGCTGTGCTGTAAGAAAGGCCAGACGCAGGCTGCCATCAGCCTAAAAATGCACAGGGGGAGTGAGTGAAGGCTTCGGAATCCTTTCTCCAAGTGACTGCTTGTTGCCATATTAGTTCAATATATTTTTTTTCATTCTAGAGAGAAACCTGTTTACCCTCATGACTCCAGAGTGTCCTCAGCTTGTTCATAAAGACATGCACGATTACATGCACATTAAGTAATCCCTATGCATCTTCTTTATAAAAAAGTAATCTGCTGGGAACCAGCAGTTAGCGTAATGGCTATGTCACTGGACTCCCATGTAGTCAACCGCGGTTCGCGTCCTGGACCCGGTGGCTTAGAACTCAGGCCGGGCGCGTGTGCGTGTGTGCCCAAGATCCCGAGAGGAGAATGGAGAAGGGATTGCGGCGTGACCATCCCCCCTGGGGGGTGATTTCTCGCTTTCTGTCTCTATGTCTCTCTCTGTCTGTCTGGGGAGCGCACGCGCCCTATAGCGAAAATCTCTCCAAAAAAAAAAAAAAGTAATCTGCTTTTCTTAGTGTCCGGATTTCTAAGGCTTTCGAGACAAAGCGTTAAGAAAGGAAGAACCCCCTCATCGGAGGCGTTAGCCACAGGCTGCAGCACTGTGGGCTCTGCTTGGTTTCAAGGCCACTGGGCTTGAGGTGGGGCCGGTCACTGAGAGGGGCTGGACAGCTGTGAGTGTGCAAGAGGTGCCAGTGGCTTCTCCAGCTCCAGGACCGAGCCGTTCCCTGGTTTGTAAAGCGCCCGGTTTACTGGCTCAACTCCTGCTTAGGAGAGCAAGCTGTCTGTTGAGCCAGATCCTGTGCTGTGTAGCCTCGTTTCAGGCCCTCGGGACATTAAAAATCGAGGTCAGTATTTTTTTAACCCTATGGTGTTTCTATTTATTTATTTTTAATAAACTGTGATCCAGAGAGTCTCTAACTTTTTGAGAATATGGTATGATTACGCGTGCCAGATTCAGATCTTTTTAAAGAGAATTTGAAATAATGTCTAGCTGCTGGGGAGAGTCGGTCTTCCTGTGTTTTACTCATGGGGCAAATGACAGGACCGAGCATTCTGGCCCCTGTGGCCATCCTGTCTGCGGTGAGTGTTGCGACATCTGCTTTGCTGGTTGCAACGCCAGGGTTATTTCAGCAGCGAGAATGCGCTGTGTCTGCAGAGGGGCCACAGGGCGGCACCCACGGTAGCAAATTCCTAGTGAGAGGCCAGTTCCAGAGACACTGCACGGCAGCCCCAGGCCTTCTCAGTCCCACAACATGGGGCGTTCTGGGGCCAGACAACCCTCTGTTGGTGTCTGCAGCCTCTCTGGCCTCACTGCCAGCTGCAGGTAGCCACGGCTCCTCCTGTAACAACCCGGACAGTCTGCAGACAGACGGTGCACACGGCCGCAGGAGGCGAAGCCACCTCCAGTTACCCAGGGCTCTAGATGGAAGGCCCTCTGTGAGAGGTGGCCCACGCACTGTCCCCTGTTGCCTCGTTTCTGAGGATGTTCCCTTGAAATTCTTGTCAGGACTTAAGGCCACATT